TACCTTAGAATCTTGTACCTGGCATAAGGTAACTCCATATTCCTAAATTCTCATATAAGAGAACTCAAAGAGAATGCTCCATCAATATCCAGTATGATACGTTTTAAGGTTTTTCCTGTCAAGTAGCCCCTGGGTTCAAGATGCCTTGAAAGACCTTGCTAGAGCTTTCTTTTTCTTTTAACGTCCTAGTGAGACTAGACTAGAATAAGGCATATTCCATCAACAGGCAAAGCTCTTGCCCTCTCCTTTTATCATCATTCTTGCTCATTTGTGTCACCTTTGGTGACCCTGCCCCTTTGTCCCTCAGTTATATTCAGCTGTCACCCCTAATGCCAGGTGAATCCAACTCTCCGTACTCTGAGCTGCATGGGACTAGAGATAAACTCTCCTAATCTCACTCAACATATATGACCACATACCTTCGGCAAACCCTTAGAGTTACTTTGCAATACTGCATTTCACTAAAATTCTATCATTTTTCTTAGTCCACTCCTTCAGACTTCCTTTTCTCCTTTCAACTCTTAAATACTTCACTGCTTTCAGCTGACACCTTTATTCCTGTTACACTGAGAAAACGAAAGCAAAGTATGGATGCACACTTCTGCTACTGAATCTATCAGCCTTCCTGCCGTTCACCTGTATGCTCCCCTCCATATACTATGCATGGCCTGTCTGGCTTACTTGCTAAATCCAAACACCCCCTTGTGCAGTGGAGCCCAGCCCTTCCACCTATGTAAGGCTATCATCCTGCACTTGTCCCCTCTCTTGTCTGCATCTCAAGTGTTTGTTCATTTTACCAAACAAATTATTTCTGGCAGTCAGGACCCATCATAACAAAGGACCTTACCCTAGTCCTCCTTCGGGACCACCCACTTTCCTGTGCGTTATTACAGCAAGAGTAACCTATGAAAGGCACGGCCTCCTCCACTTCCTCTCTTCCTCTCTTGAGCCACTTCACTCAGGTTTTCCTTCCAACCACTCCACTAAACCTGCACCTGCCAGAGTCACCAGGGACCTGTATTTTGTCACATCCAGAATCCAGTCTCAGTCCTTATTTCTCCCCACTAGCAGCACTGAACACCTATATTCAGTCTTTTTTTTCTTTACACATTCTCTTCACTAGCTTCAAGATAGCACTTCTCTTGGTCTGCCTCTTGTCTGGCTGCTGCTTCTTATTATTATTCTTTGCTCATCCCACCTCATCTCCCAATATTAGAGTGGTCCAGTCCTTTGCTCTTTCTAATCAGTATATTCTCACTGCCATGACTTTAAATATCATCTATGTGCTTAATTTCCTGAACTGAAATCTCTAAACTACATCAGGACTCATACATCCAACTCAATATCTGTTCATATCTTCTCTTGAATATCTAATCAGTATCTTGAACTTAGCATAACCCAAACTAAACATTATATCCTCCCCCATTGACAACTGCTGAACGAGGACTTCTCTGCAACCTTCCCTAACTCTTTAAACAACTGCTTCATCCTTCTAACCTTTAAGCCAAAACCTGGGGCATAGTTTTTTCCAGGTAAAACTTGGCCCAGCAGCCTCATTAAAAATGTGAAAACATTTGCTGACAGGGTAGATGCCTCTTCTATCATTCACAGGATGGTTGGTCAGATATAGTGAAAATGTTTTACAGAAACATTTGAGCAGTTTTAAAATGTGAAATGTGAGTGTCTGCTTAGGCACCTTGAGATTTCCTGTTTGACCAAAATATATTTAAAATTAAGATACAAAGATAAATATTTGTCTGTGGGCTGTGAATTATTTCCATCCAAAGGAGTCTTGCCTTTCTGATCCACACCTTCCAATGCTTTACTTAGCTGTCATGCATAAGAGTCACCAGGTTCCATTTTGCAAACCGGCTGATAGAATTACAGCAAATGCATTTGGCCATCAGCCTGAAATTCTGATTGTGCCTTTGTGAAATGCCCAAGGTTGGTGGGATATGACTAGAAGAGGACCCACCTAACTCAGGGTGGGTAAGGATGTTGCCCGTTTCTTGCAGGTTGGGGAGAGCGGAGAGCCCCAAGGAGGAGTGCTGCGGGCCAGTGGCCAGCCCCTATGACTACAGGAGGCTCCTGCGCAAAACCTCCCAACGACAGCGCCTCATTCAGCAGTTGTAGCCCAGCCATTGAACAGCCACCAGCAGAAACCCCTGGAGCCTGCAGGATTATGGCCACCACAGCGGGGTGGGGAGGAGGGACCTGCACTGGCGCTTGCTAGCACTGGAGCTGAGACCTTGATTTCTGCTGGGGCTGCCTGCTGCACTGCTCCCTCAAGGGCAAGGGCCAGCCATCTAAGGTGCTCTGAAAGACGAGAACTCGAGCCCTGTGGGACTCTGGGCCCCACACCCTGGGGCTCCTGTACTCTCTTCTCTCACCAGCCCACCAGTTAGGGCAACTTTGTCCAGTGGACCCGCCTGCACCTAAGCTGTCACCAGCTCCTCCGGGTTTCTTTTTCTGAGGGAGCGATAATTTCAAAGATACTGTCTTTCTTGCAAACAGCTTTCCCAGACCTACAGGACCCTCAAAGGTGGATTGAGTCTGCTAGTGCAAAGCCTGGGTGAGGCGAGGGGGAATGTTAAAGATGAAGCTCATCTCAAACTTGAGCTTTCCCTTTCCTTCGTTGTTCAGATTGCTAAATAAAGGAAGTGCCCTGGAAAGTCTGTAGTTTGCACCACTGGTCAGCCCTTTTCCTGTTGGGGCCCGGCTTTGGTTACACAGTTGTGGGAGGGGCCTTCTGTCTCCAACAGCGGACTCCTACCTCCCTTCCCCCACACACAAAAAATACAGTCTGCTCCATACGTGTCATACAAATACATCTTCAAACAAATCTCCTGACAGACTCGCACGCACACACATACATGTGCTTGTGCCTTCCTAATCATTGTGGCTTCCTTTGTCCAGCCTGGAAAATTCCTGGTCTCATCATGGAGCTGAGGTTTTACAATGTTCTGCTCTGCAGATTTGAGGCAGTTACTACTGCTCCAAATATGGGCGTATTTCAGAGGGAAGGTTGGCGGGTGGACAGAGGTTTGCATGTGTCCATTGACTGCAACTTCTTTTAAAAATGTGTTAAACCCTTCAGTGGATGACACCTCATTTTCTACACAGCCCAAAGCAATTGAGAAAAGGTGGTGAAATGGTTCCATGGGCACCTGAATCAGAAGAAGGGTTCTGTCCACGCTGGAGCTTGTCCCTTCAGCCGGTGCCCTCGGCTTCTGAGCTGTGGACCCAGCCAGAAGACTCTAGGAAAGCATTTGAGAAGAGAGAGCATGTGCGGCAGGTTGATAATTTGCCCAGCAGTTATAATACTCTTTCCAAGAGTTAGCTCCAAAAGCTCCCTGGGGACAGACTTGAGACCTCTAGCTGTGGCAGGACCAACCCTGAATCCAAGTGCGCCCCAGGGCCCTGCTCCTTCCCTAGTTTAGCACCACACCCTCCCTCGGGGTTGGGGTGGATCACTCCTCAGCCTTGTAAAACGTAGGCTCCATCTGGCCCTGGCACCAAGGAAATCAGGGCAGCAGGTCCCACAGAAGGACACAGGAGAAGTAAGGAATCCCTACACCCGAGGCGAGCTGCCCCAGCCTCCTCTGTCCCCTCCACAAAGAGACCCTCAGATGCAGTGGTTCGAAGCACATCCCCACTTGGCTGCCAGACCCATCCTTTGATCCAGAATTCCTGGCAGCCTGCTACGGACCTCTCCAGAAATCCCTTGTTCTTCCCTCCCCTTAAAACCCCCACCACACACACAACATGCAGTTTTTTTAAAGTGAGACTGGAAGCAAGAAAGGCCAACACTTGGTGAAAAGTTGCAGTGCTTTTGTTCTTGTTTTCTCTGTATTTCTTCGAGCTTTTTCCTTCCTTCCTTCCTTCCTTCCTTCCTTCCCATCCATCCCTCCTGCTTTCTCTGTCCCTCTGCACAAGGGAAAACTTACACAAGATACAATATTTTTCTTCAGCTAGGTCTGCAATTCGATCCCTGGGTAAAGTGTGGAAAAGAAATAGGTCATCTAAGGAAACCATTCCCCGCGGGGCCGGGAGTGTTGGTCTGTCTCTTCCCTCAATCAAGGAAGGAAGGGCCTTCGAAAGCCTTTTCCCTGCTCGAGCCTGCCTTCCCTTCCCATTCTCGGCTGCCTCCTTTGTGAACTAATGACTGTAATTATTACCTCCATGCTCTCTTTTGTTAATGCCAACCCAGAGCCTAAGGGGGGAGGGGGTGACACGGGCTCATCAGAGAAAGAGAAATTCTTTACAAAGCAAATTACAGTCTAGAGGGCTGGCATTAAGGAAAGACAAACCAGACCTCCATTTGCATTGGAAATAGGGAGTGTTTCAATTTTTTAAAAAATCGTAAAAACCATCACCGGAGTTAAAGTACTTTGGAGCAGCAAGATTTAATAGCATTTGAAAAGTAGCGGTTACTTGACTGCCATAACAACAACAAAAAAAAATTCAGGGGTTGCGATTTCTACCTTCCTCTTGTTTTAATCTGTTTCTTCTGGAGCCTTTTGTGTGTATATTAAACACTTGTTTTTAAGACTCTGCATTTTCGACTATATGTGAGGTTCTGCATCCCCCAGCCCGCTGTATTTGCAAGATTTGGTGTGGATTTAAACAAAGAACCAGGCAGGCTCTGAGTCGAGTCGTCTTCGAGTGAGGCTGGAGAGAGAGGTTTGGGGTTTCTCTTCTGGCGGTTTAGACTGCTGGATCTGGATTTGTTACCTTTGTCACCTGTAACATCTGAGCTAGGAGGACCGCAAAGAGAAACGGTGGTTGATATGCAGTGTGGTTGATCTCAGGCCCCCAAACAAGGGGCCTAACCTCTTGTACCCCTCCCACGAATCTGATTCAAGTCGCACGGAAACCGCTGGCCTTTCCACGCCTCTGCGGGCCAAGGTCACTAAATGACCGGTTGCCAACCCCCTTCAGCCATCAATTCTGCCTGCGCTGGTTGGCTCCCCTCCTCCGTGCTCTCTTCCCAGAAGTTTCTGTCACTCCTCCCAGCCCGAGGTCCTCGGTGAGAGACTCCAGCGTGGATTTTAATTGCCTCAATCAGCAGTGTTCCTCCCCAACTGTCAATCAAAACCTGGACGGCGAGAGCATCGACCCGGCGCTTGGCCACACGGAAGTCGTGCTTCCTGGGGCCGAGGCGGCCCCATCGGCTGGCACTGGGTCTCCCGAGGAAGGGTGCCTTTCGCCCGCTGTGCCCTCCCCAAGCCCTTGAACTGTTCCGATTCACGCCGGACGGCTCGGCTCTTGAGGGCTCCGCGACCTCGGCATCGGCTCGGACCAAGGCGGTCCGGGATCCGCACTTCCTTTCCTCAGCCGAAGCCAGACCTCAGACAATAAGTACGCCCATCGAAGCTCGCGTGGAATTCGTCTGTGTCACCCTTCCCACCTCGCCGAGGTCTCCCAGGCCCGCCCCTCGCCGAAGCCAGCCTCCGCCGGCGCGGCAGCACCCTGGACAGCGCCTGGCCGGGGAGCAGCTCTGCACTCGCGGCTCTCGGGGCTCCCGCCTCCGCCCCTCGCTCTGACTCCATCCCGCTCCCGCCCACAGCCCGCCTGGCACCCTCACGACTCAGCGTCCTCCTCCCTCCTTCCCATTCCCCTCTGCCGCCCCTCATCCGTCCCCGCCGGGCTCCTTCTCTTCAAAACTCCAGGGCGCTCTGCGCTTCTCCGTCTCCAGGCTGCGGACCCCTCGGGCTCCGTCCCGGTCTCCTCTCCAGGCTCCCCCAGCGCCGCCACAGCGAGAAGCCCTGACTCCGACACGCGCGCACACGCGGACACGCGCGTCCCCCGCGGGAGCCCGGCCAGTCGCCGCAGCCGCACTCGCGACCCGCTCCAGCCTGCACCGCCCATGGCCTCTCCGGGCTCCGGCTTCTGGTCCTTCGGGTCCGAGGATGGCTCTGGGGACCCCGAGAACCCCGGCACAGGTAGGAGACGGGGACCGGCCGCGGGCAGCTCCGCGGGCGGCGGGGTTTGCGGGCTGCGGGGAGACGCGGAGGCTGAGACCGGCCACGGAAAACTTCTTCGCGCCTCTCCCGGCGCTCGCTCGGGGAGAGACCTTGGCGGGCCAGGAGCCCCACGGCCTTTCGTCCCCGGGAAGGACGCCCCGAAAGTCTCGGGCTCCTCCGCCCTCGGCGAGGGGAGCGCCCCAAAGACGGCGTCTCCGAGACAACGAATCCGGCCTCCCCGCGGGCAGGCGGCGCGGACCCCGGCCTGGGAGCGAGCGGGCGGAGGAGGGAGCGTGGGGAGCTCGGGAATCGGGGTCTGGAGACGCGACGCGAATCCGGGGCAGTGGGGAGGCGCGAGGACGCGGTTCGCGGTCCCGAGCTCACGGGGAGGCGGGCGCAGGGCCCGGGCGTCCTGGCCCGGTCACAAATCGACGCCGAAGGCGGCCTCAGAGCGGCTCGGGGTCCCGTTCCCCCGTCACGAAATTCACAGTCCTCCGCTTCGCTGTCCGCCTGCCTTTCTTCGCAGCGAGAGCCTGGTGCCAGGTGGCCCAGAAGTTCAC